CAAAAGTCGCCTTGGGTCAGTTAAGAGTTAAAGCTTATTAGCTGATTCTATTAATTATACTATTCAAAAAAAGTAGGGGATATTTGATTTTTAAGTGTTATTAAAGTCACCTAATGAAACTGACAAAGAAACAAATGACAAAATGAAATGAAGTTCACATTCATCGATTTATTCCAAATGATCGTTAGACTAAGTAAGGCACAGACTGACCATTATAAGGGTAAAATGATACCCGGGGTCAAAAGCAAAGTTACCACAGCATCACAACTAAGTCAGTAACGGGTAAATCCTCCTTTGTTTGCCAAACAAGCATTGATCCGACGTGGCATACTCCTAATGAGACGTCTAAGGTCATTTTGTCCCATTCCTGTTGCAACGCAGCAGCAAGTTCTTGGACATTGGCAGGACGTTGTTGACGTTGACGTAACCTCTGTCCAAGCATGTCCCAGACATGCTCGATGGGAGAGAGGTCGGGACTCAGTGCTGGCCAAGGTAATGTGGTGATGTTCTGTTGTTGGAGGTAACCTGTAACGATCCTGGCCCTGTGACATCTTGCGTTGTCATCCTGGAAGATGAAACGGCGGCCATGATGTCGTGCGAACGGCACGACATGGACTGCCAAGATGTTGTCCCGGTAGTACTGGCCTGTAACACGCCCTGCAACAACATGTAAAGCCGTTCTTCCAGCAACAGTGATGCCTCCCCACACCATAACAGAACCACCCCCAAATCGATCATGTCTGATGACGTTAACGTCTTGGAAGCGCTCGTTTCGACGACGCCACACCCTCCTACGTCTGTCCAAAAAATCAACAGTGAACCTTGACTCATCTGAAAACATCACATTGCTCCAGCGTCGATTATCCCAGTGTTGACGATCCCTACACCAACGACGTCTTGCCTGAATGTGATGATCTCTCAAACAAGGGATCACGCGAGGACGTCGGGCGCGAAGGTGACCCCTATGCAGTCGATTCCGAATCGTCTGGCCACTCACTCTCACACCAGTGTCTGTTTTGCTGTGATGACACGATTTCTCAAGGCCAAGGTACGGATAAATCGATCCTGGGCTTGAGTTGTCGCCCTTGGTCGACCTGAGCGTGGTCTGTCCTGTACAGATTGTGTATCACGGTAGCTGGACCATAGCCTGCTTATGACAGACTGAGAAACATTCATCGTCCGCGCCACAACCGCCTGTGTTGTGCCGATCTGTAGCATGCCAAGGGCACGTAACCTTTCATTTTGGGTAAGCCGACGCATATCAAAATTTGTTTTCTGGTCACTAAAACAATTAAACTGATGTTTCCACCCTGGAATTCAATGCCACAATGACTGTAACATTCAAAGTCAGAGTCGTGCAAATCTTGGGTTGGACCCCCATGATGATCCCAAGCATCACCTGCATTCCATGCGGTAGCTATTGGTGCGTTTGGGCGTCACATGTAACTGGAAATGTTTCTTCTGTTAGGTTCTATAGTGACTTTTTTCGTAGTCATTTGCATATTTTAGTATTATGCCCCCAAAATCAAATATCCCCTACTTTTTTTGAATAGTATATATTTCACTATGAAACTTTACCCAATGAAATTTATATATTATTATTAATATAACTTCTTTCATTTGATCCGTTACAATATATTTTTATCCCTAATTTTATCTTTAACCTGATTTGTTGAAATGATTATCCTTTTGTCTGTATGCAAATTAGTTTCTTTAAAAGACTCCTACAAGGAGAACAAAAAAAGGAGATCAGATGAGAAAAAAAGGGAGATCAGATGAGATAGGAGATAGACTTAAACATTCATTATGCAAAATCTAAATCTGCCTATTGCAGGTCTTTCTTTAGGCCTGAAATATTTTCTAAATTATTAATTAGACATTAATTAACTTATCCAGGCCATAATCAACTCTCGATGACATCTGATTTCTCCGATGTTAAATAGATTAGAACAGTACAGCCATATTTTGATTTAAGCTAAAATTGGAGGAGCGAGACTTAGCTTCGAACAACCAGTACGGTGGTTGAAATTATTGCGCACGTCTTGCTAAACTTTCAAAGGCTAATGTCTTCACTCAAAATAGAGTAATTTAAATGAAATTTTCAAATTATTCATTTTACATTATCTATTTTTGAACTATTATAGCAAGAATAGCTAGCTCTTTATCGAAATCTTACATAATGTATCTTTAAGTCATTTATTAGCCCTTGATATGATCTTGTATATAATGTATATCTAACTGAATATAAAGGAATATTGAAACAGATTTCGATTTGGACTTATTAATGCACAGTGACCACCTTCATCAGAATACTTCTCCACGAACGAGCTATATACACCCCCAATCCTAGCTCATCTATATGTATGAAATATTACATATGTATCCCCTGGGTGCATATTCAAACGAAGAATAGCCCCGAAGCGTTAGTGATATACGCCCACAGCAGCTAAATCGTTCGGGCAGTCAACAAGAGCTGTGGCATATTTTTTCTTTTGTTGGTAATGAAACATTTATAATACATTAAAATCTGATTAAGAGTAACTACTTGTTAAGTAATTATCAGAAAATCATTAGAATTTCTTTGGTCCATGCTAATGTTCAGTATACAAAACAATTAAGCTGTTCAAGTTATCAAAAAACATTGAAAATCAATATACTTGTTTGTCTAAAGACCTTAAACTCTGTGTTTCAATCTAAAGTCAATCAAAACAATTATATATAGGCGTAAACACGGTGTATAAATATAAAACCAATCTGCTGATAACTATGGTCTCAAAAGCATCCACAAGATTTTTCAAAGTGATGAAGGGCCATAACTCTGGCAGTAGTTATCAAAAATCATTGAAAATCAATAGTCTTCTTCGTTTGATGACCTTAAACACTGTGTATAAATTGGATATCAACTTTAGCCTCTAGAGCATCCACAAGATCAAGGGTCATAACTCTGGCAGTAATTATTGGAAATTGTTGAAAATCAATAGGCTTCTTTGTCAGATGACCTTAAATCTGGCAGTAATTATCAGAAATCGGTGAAAATCAATAGGCTTCTTCATCTCATGACCTTAAACACTGTGTATAAATTTAAAGTCAATCGGATATTAACTATAGCCTTCAGTGCGTCCACAAGCAATTGTGGTCGCCGGACCGACGACAATATACAACCACATTTCAATGTGAAACTTCCAATCAATAGAAACAGGAAACACAAACCAAATACAGACAGTTTGATGGGATCAATTTTGACTAAGTCAAAATGATGCATTTGATATTCAGATAAGTTGATATAAAATAATTAATAGAATACAATATCAAAAAAAACATCGTTTTACAAGTAAGTAAAAATTATGCATGATTATTTTCAAAATCATTTATAATCATGCATAATTTTTCCTTACTTGTAATATTTTACCTAAGTTTTAGTTAAGCTAACCTTTCATGTTATGTATCTAAGTCTATGACGTCTTCATTCCCACGATGTCATAACTTCCTATGATGTCATAACTGACTTCCAGTCATTTTGTATTTAGTTCTTCATCCCTGAAGAAGTTAGTATTTTTACTGACACAACGTTGGATAAAACGATGGTTTTTTGATATTGTATTCTATTAATTATTTTATATCACATTTCAATGTGGGCGTATATAAAGCAATGTTGATGTCCACCAAATTTTCATGAACATGGACACCTTGTGTGATCACTTTAGCTTCTTTGAGCATCAACAAGATGTTCAAAGTGATCAAGGGCCATAACTCTGGCAGTAATTATCAGAAATCATTGAAAATCAAAAGGGTTCTTCGGTTGAACACTGTGTATTAACTTTAGTCTTAAGAGCGTCAACTAGTGACAACAATATTCAACAACATTTTAATGCGGGTGCATAAAAGCAAAATCTTTATACCAACAAGATTCTATGATATATCAAAGGACAATTATTCATGAAGTAATCGAAACATAGAACTGTTAAAGTGCTAGCAAGTTTCTACAAATTGAACAAGAGCAATAACTTTAGATATAATAAACAGAAATTGTAGACATTTTATGAGGTTCTGTGCCTCACTAATTCAAATAATGCCTATAAATTTCAAACAAACATAAAAATTCTACAAAGATAGCAAGGGTAATAAACTCTAGAAGTAATAAATGGAAATATTGTTCTGCATCTCACTATTGTCGAGATTGGATGATAAATGCAGAAAGTGATTTTGGACGACAGATAGGTGAATGGCGATGGCAATATAGAATCACACTTCATGGTTGGTTCTTTGAAGACTACTTACTTTTTAAGATTACGACTTCTAGGTTCCCCAATATGCTAAAATTCTGAATCATTTCCACCAAGACAAAGTTCCTACTATTCTTTAAGTCTTCAAGAGAATAAAATGAAAAGAATGTACTGGACTGAGATATGGGGACCTGCATCCCTATGACTATGGGCTTACAATACGATTTCCTTTATGATGATTTTCTTAAATAATCTTCTGCATTATAGACTACAGTATATGTACATGTATCTATTGACCACTGAAGATGTCAGCTTTTTAGTACTTCATTACACTGAGTATTGATCTCTTGCAATATATTACAGACTCTAAAGACGGTTCTACATATCCAATAGACAACCTACGTGTTTATCGTATATTCTAACTGTGCAAGGAAGTAGTGATAGCTCAATCACATCACATTTCTGCTTAATCTTTAAAATATTTCAGTCAAGACAGTGAAACTAAGAGCTAGACATGTCTTGAATAATCTTGTATATATAATTACCTGTTTCTCTAACTATAAAATTATATTACTGGAAAAATATATAGCCTATATCTTACTCGGTACAGCTGCATTATAGACATGTCAATTTGGGTTAAAATATTTGAATTTTGGAGAGAGAGAGAGAGAGAGAGAGAGAGAGGGAGGGGGTAATATCTCCAATTGACACAAACTAAATGTAGGTCATTTCAGGACTACCATATTGTACAATTTCATTTCAATAATTTGCTTACAGGTAGAGGTCTTTAACAGTGGGAGGTAAACAAAGGTCAGACGGGGGGCCCACAAGATTGGGTAAGCGTTGAATTTTGGTTTTTATATTCAAAATATAATACAGTAAAACAACTCAGTAGAAAAATAAAATTTTGTTCAAATCCCCAACATGAATTAAATGTTCCAAAATTCATTAACGTCTGAATTAACTATGCACGCATTCACATTATACGTTCACGCTTCGAAACGTTCTTCTCAGAGGAAATAGCACAGCCCACCACAGTTGTATATTTTAGTCAAATTTAATTATAATACAAATATTCTGTGCTTAACACTTGTTTTCAAATATTTAACAAATTTTAGAATCTAAAAAATTCATACAATGGTTGTGATAAGTTTTCATAAAAAATAAATTAACAGACACATGAAAATAGATTTAGACCAATCACTTGCAATTCAAAAATCTATTTCTTGTCATTGCAATTAGCAAACTGATACATTGTGAACGACTCCAGTCCATATTTGAGATATGGTTGAACTGATTGGTCAAGTATATATTCCAATGAAAGTTTGGTCAAATAAAAATACATCATGATCAGGTGCTTTGTCTTTGCTACTCAAAGACAGTGATTAGTTTTCTCTGATTATTATATTTTAAAGTAGGAGAGACTGAATGGTGATATTTATCTTTCATAAGGACCAGCTCCTAAAGATAATACATTATATATCCAAGCAGAAACATAATATTTAGGCATAGGCATTACCATCAAGTAAGGCTATTTGTGTCTTATTCCCTTGATGATATCACTCTTTATTACGCATACAATAACTAAGTCGTGCGAGCAGTCCATAAAGACTGCCCAATTTTTTTTTTCTTTTGCAGGTAATGGGAGCACATACAAATCACTAAAACCTGATCATGGGCACCAACCAATGAAGTGATTATCAGGAATACTTGAAATTTAATAAGCTTCTAGCACATAATACAGCCAACATGTACAAACCATGTACCAGTCATCAGTTGATAACTTTAATTGTTCCAGTAATCTGAAATCATGGAAAACAAACAGACTTCTTCATGAACTTTAATACTGTACTGTGTAACAATTTCAGATCGATATACAACCTCATTTCATTGTGGGTGTATAGAAATAAAATTGCTTCTATCATATAGAGGAACATAAACATTTTTAAAAGTTCATCATATAAAAACATTTATATTTTGGCATACATGTATAAAACATAATATACCTAAAACAGTATATAAACCACAATATATTTGCATTTCACCACAAATTACATAATATGGCATTGCCATAGTGCACCCAAATTTTCACTTACACCTACATGTAGTTACATTCAACACAACATGGCTTTTTTTATTTACAAATCGGGTCACATAATCATATGTAAGGTCATTCAAGCAATTCCAAGTGCAACTAGTTATATTTTGCCAGAAATTACAATTGTAGGTTGTGTTTTGTATAAATAAATAGATAATTCACATGTGAAAGATTACTGTGTTTGTGTATATGCAATCATTAATGGCTTTAGCACACATTATTTCTAATAGACATATCTGAATTGGACATTGGGAAAGGTTTAATTTAAAGGGAGCCTTAAATGATTTTGCAGCAAACCTGGAATAGTGCCAATACAAAATGTACATTTCCCAGGAAACAAAACAGACATCCACAGCAACTCTGCTGACCATAAGGATGTAATATTGTCCCAAGCTTACTAGTGCTTATAAGAAATAGTAGTTATTGAGATGCAAATGTATTTAAATCATTACCAAACAATCGGCATACATGTTACTACCTAGAGCTATGTGACATTCTTCAATTCACAAAACAAATACCACATATAGTCTTCTAGAACTTAAATACTCAACCATGAAAGAGATTAACATCCACTCAACGCAAACTAAGAGGGCTGGCTGAAAGTTCTAAGCCTGAAAAGTATAGATCAATTGGGTTGAAACAAACTTTTGCCACCGACAAGTACAATCATTGAATGAATCATATACAGAAGAACTACAACTGTAGTGTTATTATTGTCTTCATACCAGACCATGTTGTGAACCTACCGACTGAAATCACCAGAAATGGACAACACTGGCTATAGGGCAGTCATCAAGTATCTGAACTGAAAGGACTAACCCCACATAGATACATGCCAACATGGTCTCCACTTCACGGATAATGCCCCTTCCTTTTCCACAGTAAAGAAGTGTGGCAGAAAGAGCCTTGATGATGACCTGCGTTCTGGAAGACTATCAACAGCAACCATTTGAGAAAACATTACATGGTGAAGGCTGATCGACGACTGACCACTCGACATATTCGCAGTATTGTGGGCATCTCTCATGAGAAGATTGAGCACATCATTGCCAACGAGTTAGGAATGACAAAAGTTTCTGCAAGATGGGCGCCAAAGCTCTGGACTGTTAATCAGAAACGTGTCAGATTCCTGATGTCCTGTGACAATCTGCGCCTTTTTGAAGCAGATCCTGATCATTTTTGGGCTAGATTTGTAACCATGGAAGAGATTTTTCGTAAAATCAAGGGCCATAAATCAGAAAGTTATGATCCGATATGCACAAATATCAACAGGAACCAAGATCTTTGGGTTATAAAGAAGAATTTCAAGTTTCATCAAAATCTGATCAACATTGTGACTTCTAGGGGGTACACAACCTTGATAAACCATATATTTACACTATTTGCGTACAAGGGGCAGCCATTTTGTCCGACAGTTTTGGTCTGATTTTCACGAAATTCTAATCCAGCCGTTATTAGGGTGTAACGGTGATATATGCAAAGGTTTTTTTTCAATCCGATAAAAATTGTGACCTCTAGAGGAACAACAAGCTTAACAAGCCAACAGTGAGACTTATGTCCCCCGCCGAAATCCCAAAATGATAGATGACACATATAAATTAATCGCACATTTATTTTATTCAAAAGTTCCCAGCAATCAAACTGATTATCAACTATACATTAAGTTTCATCACTGTATATCAGATAGAATCAAAGTTATTTTGTCCCAAAGCATCGACCAATGAAATTGCTTAGTTCTGCTTAGCTTTAGTTCAAAATGTTAATCATTGAACTCAGTCAAGACATTCACCTACATCTACATCAAGTTTAAACATTCTACCACAATTAAAAGCAGAGTTGTTATGTTCCAAAGTCTTGACCAATCAAATTGCTTATCGCTCCTTAGCCTAAGCAGATAATTCTCATCATTGAACTTAGTCAAGAAATTATATAATGAATCTATGCTCAGAGTTTCTCACTCTCACTTAATTATAACCAAAGTTATCGTGCCCCAAAGCATTAACCAATCTGATTGCTTATCTCTGCTTACCCTAAGCAGACCATGTTTATCATCAAACTCCATCAAGGCATTCACCTAATGAACACCTACACCAAGTTTGAACATTCTACCTCAATTAGAAGGAGAGTAATATTGTGTTCCAAAGTCCCGACCAATCAAATTGCTTATCGCTTTGCTTATACCCTGAACAGAAAATGGTCATTATCGAACTTAGTCAAGATAAAACTATACACCAAATGTCCTCTTCTGACTTAATTAGAACTAAAATTATCATGTCCCAAAGCATCAACCAATCAAATTGCTTATCTCTGCTTACCCCAAGCAGAAAAGTGTCATCTTCGAACTCCATCATGGCATTCAACTAATAATCACCTACGCCAAGTTTGAACATTCTAGCTCAATTAGAAGGAGAGTTAATGTATTCCAAAGTCTCGACCAATCAAATTGCTTACCGCCTTGCTTACCCTGAGCAGAAAATGCTAATTACCGGTACCGCACTTAGTCATGGTATTCATGGAACAACACGATGTTATCTTTAATCGCTGACTATTTATTACAAATATCGAAGCCCAATAAATTCTCGGATTACCCACTGCCCAAGTTTTTTTTTTCCATGGACTTTCTCTCAGAAACTGTTGCACCATCAAGTTTATCAACATATACAAACACTTACTAACGCTGGGAGATTAGGCAATCTTCGCGTGCTACCTTTGACGTTATTCGAGCGGACATCACTAATCATTGGGTTGCCGGTTAGGGAAACCCTTACATGTTTGCCCTGTATGCAATCCATGGGTGTTTATCATGGAATCCGGTATTTTTCTAGTAAGATTGGATGTTTCTACTTTCAATATACATGTATACCAAAATTGCCATACTTTTATTGGAAATAAACACCCAATAAATACATTTCGATATTTCGATAACTCCAGAGATAGAGAAGTGAGGTTTAACATCCCTTTGACACAAACTAGGTCATTTTGGGTCTATATTTCAATAATTCGCATGTGCATATAGAGGTCTTTAGCAGTGGGAGGAAACTGGAGATGTATCTATTCATTTAGGTAGTAATGACATCGCCGAACATCCTCACTTGTGGATATATATACCTAAAATAATTAGAATTTGTTCAATAGTGACAAAATTTGGAGAATCGGTATAATTTTGACATGGGGGTATTTTGAAAAGGCGTCTTGTTTGGAACCGGCATCATTTAAAAGACAAAGGAAACACATTATTAAAAGACAGATATACAGATAAATTTGTGTGCTTTCCTGGCATTTCATACCCAAATGATTTTTTACAGGACCGTGTGCACTTGGAGACATCATGTTCTCATACTAAAATCACCAGGATGAAAAAATATAGTGAAAGAAGACTTTTGAGTAGGCCACGAGACCGTTAAATGAATATTTTTAAATCAACCTCTAAAATACTCTTTTATTTGTATGTTTCACTGTTTATTTTATAAACTGATTTTATTTTAATGCATTTTTAAATCTTTGTTAATTTCTTTTAAAACTGTATCTTTTTTATGTTATGTTATATATTGATATGTTTTTAACGTGTAATATTGTATAAATAAACTATAGCAGGGGCATCTATAATAACTTGTTTTAACTTCGTTGTCTTGGAAACAAACTTCAAAGCCTAACAAGATGATTAATCTGAATAGCAATCTAAAATCTATTTATCGGTTGTAAAGGGAGATAACTGTGCAAATATTTTAATTTTCTGTAAATTATTGAATATTCGTTGCAATTATTATACTGATGTGCTGCTAATTGACGATATTGAGTTTTTATTTTATAATATTGGGTAGTATTTGATAAGTATTTGGTAGTATTGGGTTATTATTTGCTTGATTTGGGTGATATAGGGAGGCAAATGGAACAGCCAGACATCGTTAATCACATTTGAAGTACATTTCCCACAATGTATCTCACTATTTTTGAAAAAATCAAGAAATATGGTAATTTTGCACCATTAAGTTGTAGTATTGGATAGTATGTGATCATATTTGGCCTAATAAACACCTACACCAAGTTTGAACATTCTAGCAGAAGGAGACTTATTGTGTTCCAAAGTCTCGCTTACCCTGAGCAAAAAATGCTCATTATCGAACTTAGTCAAGGTACTGATTTAATGATACTATACACCAAGTTTCATTGCTCTCACTTAATTAGAAGTAAAGTTATCGTGTCCCAAAGCATCAACCAATCAAATTGCTTATCTCTGCTTACCCTAAGCAGAAAATGCTCATCTTCGAACTCCATGAAGGCATTGACCTTCAATTAGAAGGAGAGTATTGTGTCCCAAAGAGTGTGACGGGCGGACAGACAGACAGATGGATGGACAGACGGACGAACCCATTTTAATAGTCCCTTGCTTTCTTCGAAAGGCGAGTGACAAAAAGCGATTTTTCGTACAATCAAGGGCCATAATTTAGGAAGTTACGATCCGATATGCACGAATATCAACAGGAACCAAGATCTTTGGGTTATAAACATGTATTTCAAGTTTCATCAAATCGGATTAAAATTGTGTCCTCTAGAGGGTCCACAACCTTGATATACCATATTATATTTACACTATTTGCGTACGAGGGGCGACAATTTTGTATGGCAGTTTTGGTCCGATTTTCATGAAATTTGGACTCAACCATCACTAGGGTGTCACGGTTATATATTCAAACTTTTTTTTTAAATCAGATAAAAATTTGGACCTCTAGAGGGACCACAAGTTAAAATGTGATTTTTCGTACAATCAAGGGCCATAATTCAGGAAGTTACGATTAGATATGTGCGAATGTCGAAAGGTAAACATGTATTTCAAGTTTCATCAAAATTGGATAAAAATTTTGGCCTCTAGAGGGTCCACAACCTTGATATACCATATATTTACACAATTTACGTACGAAAGGGCGGCCAGTTTGTCCGGCAGTTTTGGTCCGATTTTCACAAAATTCGAACTCACCCGTCATTAGGGTGAAATGGTGATATATTCAAAAGGTTTTTTAAATTGGATAAAAATTGTTATCTCTGGAGGGACCACAAGCTAAAAACAGGATTTTTCGTACAAACAAGGGGCATAATTTAGAAAGTTACAATCTGATATGCGCGAATATATCGAAAGGAACAAAGATCTTTGGGTTATAAACATGTATTTCCAGTTTCATCAAAATCGGATCAAAATTGTGACCTCTAGAGGGTCCACAACCTTGATATACCATATTTTTACACAATTTGCATACAAGTGGCGGCCATTTTGTCTGGCAGTTTTGGTCCGATTCTCACGAAATTCAAACTCAAGCATCATTACAGTGCACCGGTGATATATTCAAACAGTTTTTTAAATCAGATAATTATGACCTCTTAAGGGACCACAAGCTAAAAACACGATTTTCCGTACAATCAGGGACCATAATTCAGGAAGTTACGATCCAATACGTGCAAATATTGAAATAAACCAAGATATTTTGGTTATTAACATTTATTTCAAGTCTCATTAAAATCAGATGAAAATTGTGACCTGTAGAGTGTCCACAAGCTAAAAACGTGATTTTTCGTACAATCAGGGGCCATAATCCATGAAGTTATGGTCAGATTTATGTCAATATCGAAAAGGACCGAGATCTTTGGGAGATACATGTAGACCTATATTTTAAGTTTCATCAAAATCAAATAAAAATTGTGACCTGTAGAGTGTCCACAAACACACTGTGGATGGATGGACGGACAGGGGCGACGACATATACGTCCACATGAAAATGTGGGCGTATAAAAAGCTGTTAACGACTTTTTTAAATGGAAACTATCGACTTTGTACAGGTCTTTCACAGACAGGTTTAGAATTTTTTAGCCAGCCTATTATGTCATGGTATAATTTATATCTCAATAATTTGCTTGCATGTAGCATATTGCTTTCAGTTTTGGAAGGAAACTGGAGGATTCAGTTCAGAGAACACCCACAAGGTTGGGCAGGCTAGTAAAATATGGATGACAGTGGACATTGCAAATGAAATGTTATCCTGTGTCATTTTGATTTTGTTTTTTTGTTATTCATCTTTACATAAGGATTAAATGTTTTGTACAATTTTATGCTGTAGAGATGCAGACAGGATTCATATATAATATTTTAGATTATGTAGGTGTTCTTCAGAAATATTTAATAGGAAGTTGGGTGAATTATGTTTTAATGCACTTGACAGTACTTATATTAATCCCATGCCCCCGCCCCCCTCCAACCATACACACACTGTCAGGTGAGGAATTGTCCTGTTTTTCTGCATTGACTGGGCAAATGACAACAGGAATACATCATACAGTGTGCTATGAGGGAAATTTTGTCAAGACAGTGGCACTACAGCTAACTCTTATTTTAAATTCCATATGTCAAGGGTTCTTTTACGAGCATGTCAATGCGTACAAGGGACCTCGTTTTTATTATCACATCCGAAAGACTAAACACTGTCCTCAATCTGGTTAAAGCAGAGATCCTATTTCATTTTGTTTTTTATAGTTCAAAATTTCGTTTTACTTGACTTCACAACACTAGGATCTGGAAGAGTTGTTATATTACCAGCGTTTTGGTTGAAGTGAGGAATTAGCCAATGAAACGGTCTGTTATGGTAACTTCTTGGCATCTCATGCACGGAACTGTGGGTAAACCACTAGAAACGTCTGGTCTGACGTCATAGGTTCAAAAGCTGCTCGTATGACCCTGACACAACCTTCCAGTACAACTTGTCAGATCTTCATGTAGTGTAGGCCATCGAAAGTATAAAAAAACGAAATGAAATATAGATCTGTATTTTAATCAGATTGCACTGTTCTTGCCTGGACCTCTGACAAGGGGGGAAAATCACATAGGAAAATCTTGATAGTGTCTCGGCCAACATCGGGAGCAAACCTGAGACCTCCTGGCTAGTGAGCTTGTGTCTTACGTCTTACTCACTAAGATGTAAGCTTCTATGATCACAACATTTTGGGAGTGTTTAGAAAAGCGAACTGTCCGATAGAGCATGGGCAGATGGATGACAGATAGCGGTGACAGAAACATTATTTTAATGTCTGCATAATTACTTTTGTCCAAGCAATGACTGAATATTTTTAGTTCATTTAATTTTGAAACTCTGTAAGGAAATTCTGAAACCAGATTAAATCAAAAGAGAAATCATAGATATAGATATTAATCACACTTGAGCTGACTATAAACAAATTAGAAGAAAGGCAGGGTGTCAACTATTAAGTTATTATATACTAAGAACATGAAATTCAAAACCTGTTTATCTTATCCAAAATTAGCAATTTTATGTGACTTACATGATAGGTCTAGTCTTTATTATACAATGGTAATATTTTATTCATTTAACTTTAATAAAAAAAAAAAAATCTTAAAATGAGGCATAATATAATTTTAAAGAAAAAACAAAAATTATTATAATATAAAAGTCACAACTAAAAATCAATAAATTTGAAGTAGGCTACTTTAATTTTATAGGACAAAGATTCAATATAATAAACAAAATGTCTATTCAAAAAACTGTGGACAAAGCTGTTTTTCCTTTTCTCCCCTGGCTATATAGGTTACTGTATCATCACTCTATAGTAGCAAATGACTAAAATAGACCACAGCATCCTCCAGTGCCACATTCCTAGCAGACATTTTGACCTCAAAACCCACATCATAAAATAATATGGCTTTATAAAACAAAAATCATATTTCTCTTTAATCCACCTATTGAAACCGGGCAGTAAGGTGTAATAGATTATAAAATTGCTGAAATAACTCTTTAATGGACAACGATTAGCTTAATAAACAGCTGATAGCGTATTACATAATGATGAACCATATTATGCAATAGTTTGATAAACGCAAGAAAATATGTCTGCGCCAGCGCGGGTCACGATGTCCTGTCTGCGTGCAGGTTCATTCACACAAAATACCACGCGCTTTAACTGCTGTCTCGTCGTCTTCTTGAAGATTGTTAACCGTAATTTGACATGTGAATAGTTCGTCGAATATCGTGAAATTATAACGATTTCTTTTACTTGGGATTAGTTATTATATAATATTGCAAATGGCTGCAGAAAAGTTACAAATGTAAACAAAGACATTTGCTTTGTTCTTATTGCCGACTTGACAGTTGCCGAGTGATGCTTCAGATAGCGGCATACATCTTGGACCGTTAGCTGACAGTTTATATAGTACTAAAATATCGAAAGCGTCTGGTAATTGAAAGCGAATGTCAACTATTTTATAAAGCTAAAAGAATTACCTGACGTTGAAGATTCAGTATACCATCTTGACAGATATCTCATACATATATGAATTGACGCATGCACTTCTGCAAAAGATGGCGGGTTTTTAAAGGGGAGTAATTATTATTTATTTATGATGCATAAGGTAGCGAATCACATACGTATCCAAGACATTAATGTCATGGCAATCTAAGATATTAGAATATACGACACGACAAGACATTGTATATCTGCTACATGCGATACCATAAACAAATCTACTTAGTAACTTTTAAGGCGTTTCGAGGGGGATAGAGAAAGTAATATCCCCTCCCTAAATGTGAATTTGGTAAATTTGATATGGCATGAGAATTCCTGATATTCGTTTCAAGAAATTATGTAATAAATATTTCCCCAGAAAAACGCCCTCGCGTTCCCTTTGTCTGGTATTATTTGGTTGACAATTATATCCGGTATATGAAAGATATATTATGATGATATAAGATATGTAGTTGGTCCTAATGGATTTATTACACATATTTGATAAACATTGTTTCTATTGTGACATATATGTTGTGCTTTAACGAAGTAACTTCAGTTTTGTGGTTATATAACGTGTTTTACAACCAAGAAAATAAGAGAATATCGCCTTTCAATAATGCACGGTTATTGAGTATAATTAATTATCGCTATGAATTATTTCACGAGTTAGAAAGAAAAAAAAAATGGAATCAATACAAACATAATGTCTCAGTTCCTATTCAATTTAATGTCTTCGAAATATTATGAAAAACGAGCGTGTTATATGCATTAAAAGTGACACAATTTATTAATTTGCACGATTATATAGCAAATATAAATTACCGGTATCCTACTGCTACAAATATTGTTTGTATTATGAAATACATTTGGTATTTTGTAATATGATTACAATGTAAACTTTTGACCTGTTTTTGAGTCCTTACATATATTTTTGGCAATGTATACTTAACATTAATATTACCAGAATAAAATGCAGTTTAAATCAAATACAATTTTAAAATTAAAACTTTTGATTTGCGTCATTTACAACTGAAACAACGCAAGAAAGTCACATCTAGTCATGTTCCTAAAGCAACGACCGCGAGTTTTACAACATCGTAGTTAAGGCGAGATCAAGCCTTCTATTGAAGATGCATCTAGTAGGTTATTTTAAACAGGGATACCTAAAAAAAGTGACAATAATCATATTATTCTTAATACTCAACATTGATGACAAAACAAATTGAGCCAAAACCATACACAAACAACATCCATATAGCTGTTTTAGTCAAAAGAAGAATTCGTAATTCAGTGGCGGGTACAGAGAGTGGTGCCCCCTTCCCACCCCACCCCTCCCACACACACCTGCTCAGCTACAACACTTATTATGAGAAAAGTGTCACGGCCGTGTTCTTTATCATTAGATTGAGGGATGAGATGGGCATTCAATGCGAGAGATAATGATATAGAATAATATGTGATATCACAATTAACGCTTTGCATTCATAAAAAATAAACATCAACGCAGCAAAACTCTATTAGGCTCTTGTCAAGTTATCTGTGCCCTGGCGTATTGGAAAAAAAAAAAAATCAATAGTTTATGTGATGAATTTTCTTGATATTTTGATGTTTGACACAGTCGCATTCGGTTTTTGTTTTTCTATTTGGCTTCCTTAAAGTTTCCTGTCAAAATAGTGCAGAACTGATCTTACTACATATTTCAGTAAAACTAAAACGTAGCGTAGTATAATAGGTACATATTTAGTATGTGTTTTGTAAAATCCCAGTTTCTGTGTTTTGTCAAAGTGATCTCTGGTTACCCCAGATATAAATGACGATAGCGGCCATGTATTTCTCAAGACATGTTCTTTAAATTTTCAAGATACCCCTCTCCCCCACCTAACACACACACACACACACACAAATCCGACAATCCCCAAATTATGACAAGAACTGGTCAGCGGAACTCAACAATTCGCCAATCCGATAATTCCGTAGTACATATTTAGGTCATCTGTAAAAACTAAAAGATTAACAGCAACATATAAATGGATTCAGATACAGATTTGTGCGAAAAGACAAATGAATTGAAGAAGATTGCACCATGCTGTTATTGCCGGACATTTTTATTTGGGCGTAAAGACTCCGGGTTCTTTATCGGACTAAACGGTTGTCGGACTATATGTCTATTCTTTTCCAACAAAATGCCATGCAAGCTGGGCTGTAACTAGCTACGAGAATGTAGCTAAAAACGTTGAAATAATATACTGATCTGCTTGTTTTTTGCTACGATTGGGTGCCTTTAGTTCCACGTGTCAAACTCAATTTCTTTATTAATGCATGTAACATCTTAAAAATAAGATAATTTTATACTATTACGACTAATTAAACTTACAGAGGCCAATGTAGTGACACAACTATCGTCTAACCCTAAATATTCGCGTTTAAATTAATGAAGCGTTGTTTTTATCCGCCATGAATACACCGCCATATATCACTACCCGTTTAAAATGGCGTTCCTATTATAGAAACGGCTTAACGCCTCGATTTTAAATACGATGATTAATACCCGTTTCAGGTAGGATTATATGCTTAATTTTAATTGGATGTGACAGAAATATTATAAATAACAATAATCAATCGTTGTTTTGATGAAAAATATTGTCAATTTTGCTTACTGAGGCCCGATGTGATTTGCGTTGGGGTTTGCTACGTGGAACTATATACAACCATCTCTTATCTCGAAACACGTAGGGTTGAGAGATGAGGTTTGTTATCTAGGCTGTAACGGAATTCGTTTCTCTCTTGGTCGAAAAGTGTTATCATTTTCCGACCGCTATTCGTTTCTCATTTTGTTCATACCAAATTTTCCGACAACGATGGATTGATTGGCTGTAAGGTTCTCACACATCAACGACGAAACCTTTTTTTTTTAAATTCAGTCGTGTGACGAAGAACAAACACCTGAAATTACATGGTGCGTAAATTTTGATTATCTCCAAACTGAACTTAATTATCCAATCAACAAAATCTTAATCCTATCAACAGCCTGGCGCTAATTAATTTATTATTCATTGTTGGAATTGATAGAACTGAAGATATTCTCCTCTGCAGAGAAAATGTAATATACATGTGTTGTAAAATATTAATATAGCAGAGGTTACGAATGTATGAAACGTAATCGACCATTCAGCAAATGAGAGATAACTCCGGAACGGAAAGTCGCGAAACGCTGAATGTCGACAGGGTTTGTCCCCTCATGACCCCCATGCTTTCCATCCCATTTGAAAACCACCCGTTAAAAAATACATTCTCTTTCACGTTCACAGTATTTTCGGCAAGAGGGAATAACTTCGGAACGGAAAGTTGTGTGACGCCGAAAAAAGATAGGGTTTATCCTCTCATGATCCTAATGAATTCTAACAAAATGAAAAACATGAGTTCAAAAAACTACAGTCTATATCGCGTTCACAAGGTTTTTGGCAAAAGTGGGATGTGCGGTCACGAGGCTTTCGGCAAAGAGGGTATAACTCCAGAACGGGAATTATCCTCTCATGCCCCCAATGTTTCACACCAAATTTGAAAAGAATCCATTAAAAACCTCCATCGCGTCCACAAGCCAATAGTTGACGAACAGACCGACGGTCAGGGTGACAGCATAATACGCCCGTACGGGGATCACGTGGCTAGTGGGTAAGACGCTGGCTCGCTAGCCTGGAGGTCGGGTGTTCGATCCCTGCATTGGCCGAGAAAGTTCATCCAGATTTTCCGGCGTGGTTTCCCCTTGTCAGTGATGCAGGACGGAGGGCCTGACAAGGACAGCTGTCTAGTCATTCGGATGGGACGAAAAACCGAGGTCCCGTGTACAAATTGGCGTGCACGTAAAAGATCCCTTGGCCCAGTTTAGGAGCAAAACAGTAGGACGTTAAACCCCATTTCATTTCATTTTTCATTTCAATACGCCTGTACACTGAAATTTGGCATATAAAATATGCACTCTTTTAATAGATTGCCATTGTGTAAACAAAAACACAAGCGAGTATTAAGTTCGACTTCGCGGTAGCTCAATGAGTAAGACGTCGATCCCGTTGTTGGCCGAGAAAGTTTGTCGGCATTTTCCAGAGTGGTGCCCTCTTGTCACTGACACAGGACAAGGACCTGGCAAGGGACAACGTATGGAACGAAAACCGAGACCCGTGTACACATTGACGTGCAGGTAAAACAGCCTTTGGCAGTTTTTATTGTCCACAAAAAGGGAAGAAACAAGATTAGAACCCGTATAAAACAATCTTGATGGTGGTGTAAAACCAATAGAAACGTGAACTTTAAATGACCATAAATTAAAATGACGAGATATAATATTTGATTTGGCCGAAATAATTAAGGTGCCGATTTAATTAAAGATACATGCTATACTAGTTCAAAAATATATAATGCAAAATGAATATATTGAAAATTTCATCTAAATTACTTTATTCTGAGCGAAGATATATTAGCCTTTGAAGGTTTGAAAAGATGTGTGCACTGGTTGAAATACCGTATTGCTTGTTCGGGCCTTAGCCTCGCTTCTCCATTTTTAATTTAAATCATTAAATGGACGAACCGTTCTAATCTACTTAAAATCGTCCTATCCGATGGCATCGAGAGTTGATTATGGTCTTGTCATGTTAATAAATGTATACTTAATAGTTTATATAACATTTAACGCCTATATAGAAAGACCCGCAATAGGCTGATTTATCTCTTGCATAATGCCTGTGTTGATTTGCTTTGTCAAGGAGGTATCGGCCATGTCGTCAAATGAAAATAAAATTCGCAAACAATGTTTCGCAACGGAAATTTCACCTTTTATATTTTGTCCCATCACAAATCGAAAAATTGAATGAAAAGGTAAGGCTATAATTCTGAAAATTGATGTCTTTGAATGCTTTTTTTTACGAATAACTTGTATTTTTATTTATTTTCATTGAACTAGAATATCTTGTGTTTTCGTCAAAGGCGTATAAAGCAGAATGACTACTCCGGAGTGGCGCAATATATAGACACGGTTTACAGGGGCAGATCTAGAGACCATGGATTGGAGGGGCAGAGAAGCGCACAAC